GGGGGGGGGGGGGGGGGGGTGCATGACATTCGCCCAGAGTTCCTTAAGGCTCTGGATGTTGTGGAGTTGTATTGGTTGACGCTACTCTACAATTTTGCGTGGACATCGGGGGCAGTTCCCCTGGATTGGCAGACCGGGGTGGTGGTCCCCCTATTTAAAAAGGGGGACCGCAGAGTGTGTTCCAACTATAGGGGGATGACACTTCTGAGCCTTCCTGGTAAGATCTATTCGTCGGTTCTGGAGAGGAGGGTCCATCGGATAGTCGAATCTCGGATTCAGGAAGAGCAGTGTGGTTTTTGTCCTGGTCGTGGAACAGGTCCTGGAGGGWGCATGGGAGTTTGTCCAACCAGTCTACATGTGTTTTGTGGACTTGGAGAAGGCATTCATGTCCCTCAGGAAGTCCTGTGGGGAGTACTCTGGGAGAATGGGGTATCAGGCCCATTAATACGGGTTGGTAGGTCCCTGTACGGCCGTGCCAGAGCTTGTTCCGCATTGCCGGTAGTAAGTCGGACTCATTTCCGGTGAGGGTTGGACTCCGCCAAGGTTGCCCTTTGTCACCGATTCTGTTCATTACTTTTATGGACAGAATTTCTAGGTGCAGTCAAGGTGTTGAGGGGATCTGTTTTGGTGACCTTAGAATCACATCTATGCTTTTTACGGATGATGTGTTCCTATTGGCTTTATCAGATCGTGATTTCCAGCTCTCACTGGAGCGGTTCGCAGCCGAGTGTGAAGCGGCCGGGATGAGGATTAGTGCCTCCAAATCCGAGACCATGGTCTTGAGCCGGAAACTGGTAGTGTGCCATCTCCAGGCCAGGGAGGAGGTCCTGCCCCAAGTGGAGGAGTTTAAGCATCTTTGGGGTCTTKCTCACGAATGAGGGAAGAATGGAGCGGGGGATCGACAGACGGATTGGTGCTGTGTCTGCAGTGATGCGGGCACTGTACCGGTCTGTCATGGTTGAAGCGGGAGCTGAGCAAGAAGGCAAAGCTCTCGGTTTACCGGTTCGTTTACGTTCCTACCCTCATCTACGGTCACGAACTTTGGGTAGTGACCGAAAGAACGAGATCGCGGATACAAGCGACCAAAACGAGTTTCCTTCTCAGGGTGTCTGGGCTCTCCCTTAGAGATAGGGTGAGAAGCTCAGTCATCAGGGAGGGAGTCAGAGTAGAGCCGCTGCTCCTCCACATCGAGAGGAGCCACTTGAGGTGGCTCGGGCATCTGGTTAGGATGCCTCCTGGACGCCTCCCTGGTGAGGTGTTCTGGGCATGTCCCACTGGGAGGAGGCCCAGARGAAGACCAGGACACACTGGAGRGACTATGTTTCTCAGCTGGCCTGGGAACGCCTTGGGATCCCCTCAGACGAGCTGGCCCAAGTGGCTGGGGAGAGGGAAGTCTGGGTCACTCTGCTTAGGCTGCTGCTCCCGTGACCCGATCCTGGATAAGCGGCAGAAAATGGACGGAAGGACATGAATGAGTCAAAGCAACACTCTGGACATGTTTTTGATGAGGGAATGATATTACTGTGTATAACATGGTAGCAAGCTCAAAAAAGTTGATTTTCCATAATACCCCACCACCACAACCACCACCACCCCACTCCCCACACACCTTTAATGAAATGCTCAGAAAGTAATTATTGGCTCTACATCTAAAACACATTAACATGTGATGTCAACTCAATCCAATAAACTTACTTTAGGAAACACAGAAATGGGTAAAACTGTCATGATTTTTGTGGTGTAAATGTTTTGCGGTTCTTTTTGTGTTAGTGTGATCAGGACTCTGTACCACAGAGCAGACAGTGTCCCTACAAACCCAGGAGCCAGGCAGAAAGAGAAATCACACACACGACAGGCCCTGGAGCCTGGGGGCCTCCGTTTTTCAGATGTCCCCCTTCTACAGCGCTGCCATTGGCAGTATCTCTCCACCCCCTGTTAACAATAGGTATTAAT